TTCATGTCTAAAGCTTGCGCCCATGCACACACACCCAAGTTTGTAGTTAATAACAAAATTTGTTCTACTCATTTAGAAATCCAACAAAAGATAGCAATATTTATATTTAGCTGTAATGTAAGCAACTGTTGTTGGCAGACGGCTGAATTTGGTACTAAAACAGATGTCTAAGAAAAATTCATTTTTCTAGTTGTATTTGTTTGCAAAATGATGTTTCATTATAGATTGCCAAATAGTTATCCAAACTATTACCACTTACCAAGTATGAACTATGTAAAAAGATTATTAAAATGAATACAAAGGTCAATGAAACCCAGTGTTAGCTCTAAAGATGCTAAGTATCTGGTGAGAAAGATGGTATGAACTAAGTTTACAGAAAGCACAGTGCTAATCATTAAGAATAGTATCAGCAGGGCATGGTGGTTCACACCTGTAATTCCAAATCTTGGGGAGACCAAGGTGAGAGGATTGAGGTCAAAAGTTTGAGACCAACCTAGGCAACACAGCGAGAGCCTCATCTCTATAAAAAATTGAAATTAGCTGAGCATGGTGATTCTTGTCTACAGTCCTAGCTACTGGAGAGTCTGAGGTGTGAGGAATGCTTGAGCCCAGGAGTTCGAGGTTACAGTGAACTATGTTCAGGTCACTACACTCCAGCCTGGGCTACAGAGTCAGACCCTGTCTCCAAAAAAAAAAAAAAAAAGAAAAGAAAAGAAAAAGGAAGATTAATGAATTAATGATCAGTTCTAAGCTAATTTATATCTGTCAATTCAAAGGTAAGAGTAAACAGAAAGCAGTTAAATATTTGCTATATTAATTTTACTATTAAAAAACTATATACAATTAACTAGCTTTATAGGTCTTACAATAATCAAGTAAAAATTACATTGGATTCTTAATTCTACCACCAATCAGATTAACCTGTTTCTAGAAGGTTAAATGCAAAAAAAAAAAAAAAAAGAAAAGAAAAAAGAAAACAACAAATGCCTAACTCTACACACATGCTCAAACAAAATCAGTCTGATTACTTTTTTTTGTGTGTGTGTGGAAGAAATAGTTAGAAAAACAGAAGAGCAAATTCAGTTTTTATAGAATGAAACACGCTTTCTACAGATAAGCTTCAACAAAGGTGTAACTCTAGGGCCTTGAGGTTAAATGATGGTGACCCCTAGGTTCTCCTGTCTGTGAAATTCAGACCTTAAGTGGCACCAGTTGGAGACTCATTTACCCTTGCCTATATATCCTATCTCTGGGACGAATTTAGAAATGTTGGCACCCAAATTTGTAATGTCTTTGCAGCCCACACAGTGTGAATCCAATTGTGCTCGATCAACACTGTTGCAAAGGCAAACTAGCATAAAGACATTTTCAGAGGGACTAATGTATAGGTAAACGTTCTGTGAGGTCAACTGACTCTCCATCAAAGTGCAAACTGTCTCAATGTGTGCATTATAGAACTATTGTCCAATGTCCAATGGTTCTAATTCAGTAATTGGTTACTCAATTTCTTTATGCTGAATATGACATAAGGTGCTCAAGACTAACAGGAGATAGAAAAGAAGTATATGAGCTCTAAGAATTAATAATGTAGTTACTTAAAACACACTTTCCAAATTTTAAGGACTAAAATTTCAAATTTAGTCCATATACTGTAAGATTAAAAAATAGTAAGAAAAATAAAACAACAAAAAAATCTATCCCTTATTTATGTATGTTAATTCTGATCCCAAAAGCAGTGTTTAACCTTTGAAATTTGCTTAATTAAATAAATGGGCTCTTCTTCATCTTAGTGTCTGGTTCAAGTATTATTTTTATTTTAAAGGGGGAAAACACCATTTTGGGATTTTACTTTTTGATATTTTGTCCAAATAAGGTTTCACTTAGAAGTAAATGCATACACATAGGGTTTTGTATGCTTTAATAATTCATGAATATTCAAAGTCTAATGAATACCAGTTTGATTCCAGTTAAAATGACAATTGACTGGAATCAGACTGGTATTCATTAGATTTTGAATATTCATGGATTATAAAAACATAAAAAAGGAATGTTAATTATCTAAAATTTATTCCAGCAAAAACTACGATTTTAACTGGAATCAGATCTGCATTCTTTAGATTTTAAATATTCAATTATACTTAGAAAAGTAATGTATCCTACTATGAATACAGGCCTCTAGAAATTAATGACTGGGGAAGACAAGGCCATGCAATCATAGATTATAAGAATTTAACAAAAAACATAAAATATTTTTTTCTCTTTTGCTAAAGGTGTGTTTCTCAAGTAGTTTTCTTTATATGTATTCCTGTCTCCTTCTTCACCAACACCATTTGATCTTGAATTTTTAATTCTTGCTCTTTTGTGCTGCATGCATCAGTGAAACCTCCTGCTAAAGAGAAATCCACACTAACTTATTTTTACTCAATAGGCTTAGAATCCGAGTTCTAACCAAAGAATATTGTAATTTGAAATTAATCAAGGTTTTTGGCTAAACAACAATCATCCCCAGAGCAATTTCCATTCAAGAGAGACATTATGCACTCTGTTGCTTTTCCTTTCTCATCATATATATTCACTGATAGCCATACACAAATAGTGAAAATAAAGAGCAGAGTAAGTAATATGCTTATTACATAGGTAGCATTTTACATAGAATTATAAACTGCCATATAATGAACATTTTCAATACGAATCAAGAAAAATCTTCAGATTACCTGAGATTGAATGTGAATATCAGCTAATGAATCAAAAGTTCAAGGTAAAAAATAAATGCCATATATTGCCAATGATATTCTCTCATTTAAAAACATGGTCTTCTTTTTTTCAAATGATATTGAAACCCATCTCTTTTATTGACACAGTAAAAAGAACCCAAATCTTGGAAATAGATGAAAAAATCAGTATTTTAATACCACAAACTCATTCATTCCTAATGAGATTCTAGTCTTTACCACACTTCAGAGCAGAAAACCTATAAAGAGCTGGGATTCAAAGTACATCTTAATTTCAACTGTTTATAGATGTTTATCTTCTAACCATTTGCTTGCTTATTAACTGTTTCCCAATAAAACTCTTTCAAACAGATCTTTTAATAAAGGCTCTGAAAAAATTTCATTGCCAGTATTATAATTATGACATAGCGGAAATAACCCAGTGACAACAAGTATTCAATTTTACAAAATGAATTAGTAGGGTGAGAAAGAATCTAAGACTGATTCAAGACAATCCATTTAATCACAAATAACAAGGGCAAACACAGTCTTTTCCAGGTGTCACCCTAATACCCGCTTTTTTTTAACCCCCAAAATCATTTTCACAGGGCCACATCAGCTATGTGAATTAATAGATTCTTCAGTGCTGTAGTAAAGATAAAACCTGACCCTTACAGTGGTTAAGTTTAGCAGCTACTGTTGCTTTTTCCTTCTAAGCAAAAAAGAAGGTTTTTTGTTGTTGTTGTTTTTTTTTTTTTTTTTTTCCTGTTTTTGATACTTAGCTAATCTGCTTAGGGATAATTAAAAAAAGCAGCTGTTTTTCTCAGATCTATCTGTCCATATATTTCTATGGTATGTGAGAGTGTGGGAGGGAAGAGTGACACTGATAAGTCACTTAGGCTTATCGGTAGTAGCACTCAGTAGGACTGAACTTTAAGCTGGGAAGAGATTTCATTTGAGCCATTTCTTTTCAAAAAGAAATTTGGAATGCATTACAAAAATAAAATTTAAAATCTTGAGAACTCAGAAAAGCATAGAAACAGGAGAAAACAAGGCAATTACTCCATTTTATTGACCCTAGTTATTAAAAAAAAAAAATCTAGATTAAAGTATTGAGACAGACTCCGAAATATACAACTGTCACAACGAAGGCATTTCAGAGCAAAATTTGCTGCAATATGCTACTATGATTAAAAGCCATGTAATCTGGGAACCTCTGTAACAAAATGACAATGAATTAGGAAAATAGCTTCTTACTACTTCTCTAAAAATAAAAGGCTGTAATTTTGTCATAATTACACAAAGGTAGGTGAGACTTTCATCTTTATCTGGCATGACAACATATTTCCATCCATAGGTATTACAGTTACATAGCTTTGAATACACATATGGTTTAATACCGAGAATAAACTATTATTTTATGACACTACATGTGTTTTAAATCTGAACCCACTATCATAACACATATTAAGGGTAGTCCTTAAGCGCATACTCTCTACCCAGAGAAAAGATTCCCACACAGCTTTCTATGCACTCTTGTTTTTAAAATGTACACATATTATCGGATACAAATGAGAGAATAAGGAGCAGCAGTGAAGTACACCATATGTTCCTATTGTAGGCTGAATCCATGTCTTTGTTCCAATATTCCAGAGGCACTGGAAAGAAAGCTAACTATCCACTCATTAAAATTCATTTTTACATTATTGCTGGCAAAGTTACTTTTGATAGATTAAGTCAGAGCCCATCCTATCCTGACTATTCCTGCCTGCATTTGCTTCTTTAAAACGGATCTCTTGCAATTCTAGGAACCTGCGAAATAACCACCCTGGATAACAGGTCGGTAGCAGGACAATCTGATAAACCAACGTAAAGGGTAGACACTGAAGAAGAACGCAAAGTTCTTTTCCTAGTGAAATAGTTCGGAAATCATTCTCTATCAATAGCACAATTTTTGCTTTTTAGAGGCTACGCACCTATAACATCCACCAGATAATATCCACCTCGTCCTCAATTAGCAGGGTTTTTCTCAATCTTGAGATCTCCCAGAACAGTTGCACTGGTGCGACCCAAACCAAAAACACCAACCACGCCCTTTATGCCCAGAATCAAGCTTCCTTTTGCTTTTTTGCTCTTAAAAGTCCAAAAATGTAAATCTTTCACCCGAGAGGGTGTGCACCGGTTTCCTAACCCAAGGCAGGCTCTTTTAGCTGTGTCTTTATGTAATTCCCATTGGAAAACGTTTCCTCCAGGGCAGTACAGACGCCCCGAAGAAGGACCCCCGCTTACCTCCCACACACCTGCAACCCCTGTCAGGATTCTGGAGCTGGTGCCGGGAGGGCTGTGCTCCGCTCCGCGCTCGTTCCTGCTTTCGTCTCTCCCGGGAAACTACAGTCCAGACTGCGCCTCCGGCTTCTACTGGGACCCAAGCTCCGCCTCCCCGTCCTCCAGTTGGCGAATTTGGCAGCTGTTGCTCCTCCCCCTGCTGTGTCTGCAGCTGCCCGGGCCAGAGGCAGCGGAAAGCAGCTGCCTTGGTACCTTCCCGCTCCCCGCACTTCTGCAGCTGCTCTGCCACTTCCTCTCCCCTGGGGGTCCCTCTCCCCTCCTCTGTGGCCTCACACCTGGAGCTGCCTCTGGCCCCACCCTGGCGTCTCTGCTGGGAGCCCCGGCTCAGCCGATCCCTCCCCGACTCGTGGGTCAGGTTCCCCGGTGTGCCTAGGGCTTAGCTGCTCTTGGGGGAGCTGTCCCTCCGCCTAGTGCAAGTCCCTACACCAAGCCCTTCCTTCACCCGGGAGATTTCCCGGAGGCTTTCTCTCCACCCGCACGGCATACTCAGACCGACAGCCCCACGTTCCCCACCACTGGCCCCTCACCCCCTTCCTTCCTCGGGTCGGTCAGCCCGCCCCCTCAATGGGTGAGGCGCCTGCCGGGCCGACCCCGCACCCTGATTGGCGCAGGTGAGGGCTTGCCCCGCCCTTCCTCTCCTTTCCGTGCACCATCTCTCTTCGTCTCACCTCCTCCCGCAAAGGCAGGAAACTCTCCTGCTATTGGCTAGGAGTGTCCCCACCCATCACCTCAGGCTCCCCCGCACGGCCTGCCGGTAAGTGTAGTCTTCCGAGTGCAGGAATTACGGACAACACCGGCGAGCGGGACTACGAGTCCCCATAGGCCTCTGCGCGACTCCGGCTGGGCAGGATTCCGGACAACGCCTGGTTCCTCTCGGGTCCTTCCGGCGTCGCCGGAGTGAATTGATCCGGGAGTTGAAGAGGGCTGCAAAGGTGGGAAGTGAAGTCAGTGCCTCAGTTGCTGGTAAGATGTAGCTGTTCTGTCCCAGTCCCCGTAGCTCTCCACTGAGCAAAGGAGGTCTAGGGTCACATAGGGGCCATGGCTGAGGCACTCGGGCTTGGTTCTGGCAGGCGGAGCGGACGGGGCTGGGAGCGGGGCCCTACGGGCGTAAGCGAGGTTACCCTACGCGAGTGGCGTAAAGCGGGTTTGTAAATGCCGCCTGCCGGCTTGGGCCCGAACGCCTCCAGGAAGTCTCCTTTGGGTGGGGGCGGGAGGGGAAGGGCGAGGTTGGCCCCTGGTGCCCCGGGAGCAGGGAGAGGGCGGATGTGCCTGGGGTGGGGTTCTTTAAAGGTGTGGCTTCGGACGGAGAGGTGAGGCTGTTGTTTTCCCCCTGCTTTGTAAGAGAAAGGGAGGAGGAAGGAAAGGGTGCTTGGGAGTCTGCTCTTGGGGTGACTAGGGTTATGCCCTTTGAGGGAAGAGGAGCACTGGAAGAAGGAAGAGACAAATGTTGTGGTCTACGGATTCTGTTCCAGTTTAATGATGTGGCCCCTCTAAGGAGGTAATTTTGCCTTAAACAGAAAGGCTTGACCCTCTTAGGTGTCATACCTAAGATACGTTTACTCCTTTACTGCTTTCAGAGCGCTTTCATGTTGGGATGTTGATGAGGAAACCGAGGGATTATATGACGTGCCCAAGGTCACACACGTAGGGACAGACTTTCTCAAGCTAGTCTGGTTCGAGTCCAGCTTCTAAAGCAGAGCTGCAGCCCGACAGAGAAAGATTAGGGACGTTGGTTGTGTTTTTTGAAAAGGGTGGAGGAAGTTGCAAAGTAGATGTATTTTATATAGTACATCTAAGAGGCCATTGTGAGATGAAAAGTTCTTTCTTGAACTGGAGTGAAATTCCTCAATAAAGGGAAGACCTTTTGGAAAAAATAAAAGGGCCAATTTCAACTTTTCCAGATTTTCCCCCTTTTATTAGGGGTGTATTAAAATATACTCTATTCTTACAGTTCATTCTCACCCATAAAGGGATGGGGGAACAACAGTTAAACAATGTATCCCTTCCTTAATGGAATATTCTTTTTCTACCTTAGGACTCTTTTTACTCTCATTTTGTAAAACTGGTGATAGTGGGATTGGAATTCTTTCGCCAAACTTCACACCTTTTCCAAATAATGTAGCCTTGGGAGAGTTTAATGTGCTTATTACTAGAAAAGAAGGTATTTTGCATTTCTTAGAGGTAACATCCTATTGTTTGAGATTTTACTTTTCGCCATTTTCTTGACTCTAGGCTGTTTGTGTATGTGTGTGTCTGCAAATAATAAAATCCGGCTCTTGCATATTTTTATTTTTCTTAGCGTCATCTGTGACTTTTAAGTCATTCTTGTTTTACATTAAAGAATTTTAAAAAGTACGCTTATATTTTATATTTTGGAGAAAGTAGTGCCCTATGCCAGTCTTATCCTCTATCATTGTTATGACCATTTACAGCTCATGACTATTATTATTGGTTAAGTTTTTAATAGAATTGTAATAGAATTCATTGGTGGTAGAATTTCTTTGTGGTAACTTTATATCCATAAAGGTTAGCATGTAAAAAATCATGGCTTACTCTTAGCATGTAATAAGTCATAGCTTACTGTTTTATAGATAAGGTGATCATTAGCCTATGCTGAATTTTGAATGTACTCTGCAATTATTATCAACAATGTGCTTCACTTTTTAATGCAAAAACATTTTTTTCGGAACAGAGGTGTGTTCCTGGATGATTGAAATTAAGATGGTTTGGAAATTAATACGATTTTAAAATAGAAAAATTATGGTGCCATAGAATGAAGTAAAATCAGGAATAATGTACCATGAGTAATAATAATACACAGACAAGAAAGAATCAGTTAAACAAATGGAACATTGTGTGAGGATAACTGACTTTGTTATTAAGAAGGATTTATAATCCTTAATCTTGCTGGATTAAGAAGGCTGCGGTGGTGTAAGTAGACCATAAACTGAACATGAATCATTGATGGTAAAGCAAGAATATTAATGTATTTTCTAGATGACAATGTAGGTATTTGCCTTTTGTTGAAGGAGGTATGAAATAAGTTCTAACCTTTGGCATGTAGCTATGTCATTATGGAAAGAGCTTTTGAACTATGAGGAAAATTTGGAAATAATATAATGCATTTGTTCAGTGTATTTTAGATTTTGTTTTCTTGGTTCAGTTCTGCCACTAACTTCTGTTTATCTCTGAGGCCAGTTATAGTTTTGGTATTTCTTCTCCTGGGCTGGTGGATTAATGTTTGTATTGTATTTATCATCCTTCTGTCACATGCTGGAGTATTGTGGTCACTTTAGATCTCTGCACCTTGGTTGGATGAGAGTTCACAGAGTTATGTATACACATGTATTCTAAGAGTAGTTTGCAGCTCACCAGTGTCTGCATTTCGTCTCATTTTGGGCTTTGCAGGAGCCTTATGTCAGCTCGGGACGTTATTTCTCATAGGACTTGAGATGTCTTCCATGTATTATACATCTGTCTCTTTCTTTAAGGATGGAAGGTCTGTAAGAACAGGTGCTGTGTGTTATTTATCATTGTAGTCTCAATAGGTAAGATAATATTTACAAAGAGAATGAAGAGGTTCAAGTAAGTTAAGTAACTTGCCCAAGGTCATGCAACTAGTTAACTGGTGGGAGCAAGACAAAAATCGAGATCTTCTGACTACAGATCTTTAATATTGTGGAGTAGAGACTTAGTTCCCTTATTTACATGAGAAAAAGCCTTAATGTGACTTAAATATTCAAATACTATTACTCACTTACTCTGTTTAACACTAAAAATTTATCTCTTTTACCCAGCTCTCCATCCTTATTGCCAGGTTTTTTCATTTACAATGCCTTTCAGTTACTACATAAGCTGCTTCCCGACTTGGTGGTCTTTACATATTCCATCTCACTCCTTGGACTATTTGGCTCTCACCTACCTAAATGTGGCCACCTGGTCGTTAGTCAGTTTTCATGTTTCAATTTAAATATCATTCCTCAGGGCAACCTTGCCTTCCTTCCCAAAACCAGCATAGGTTGCCCCTATGTATTCACCATACTCTACACCTTTGTGGCATCATATAATAGAAACTTAATTATTTCTATGCTTATTTGACAAATATTTGTGTCCTCATTAGACTATAAGCTACCCTCTCATTTGTCATGTTTTACCCCAATACATAGGTAGTACCTGGCACAGTGTAAGGGTTCAGTAAATAGATGCTGAATGAATGAAGGAGTATATTCATGCACAGTGCTTCCAGCACTTTTCTGGGGACAGAAATAGAGAAATGAATAAAGCAGATAGGCTTTCTAGATTGAAATATATAAGATCTTTAAAATGAGCTATAACACGTAGGCAACTTAGGTTATATGCAAAGGAGTCATTGACAGAATTTTAATATAAACTGTAGAAAAATGTTTATTTTTGGAGGTCTCTGAAATCAGGATTAATTTTCTAAATGAAAATGATAAAGAATCACTTTCATTTACAGCAAAATTACTGTGTAACACAGCATTTTAGAGACTTATCACTGTCCTGCTTTTTGCAGGTAGTATTCATTGTACAAAATATAGACATGCACTACAGGCTTTAGACTATAGACTAAAATAAGAACTTTTATTGGACTCTTCCTTCCTAATGTTATCTCATTTTGTCCTCAAAACTTTTATCTCCTCTAAGTAGTAGTATTAACACTGTTTTATAGCTGAAGACATCAAGAAAATAACTAAATTTACTTACTAAACTCAAGAAAGTTTAAATTGCTAGGGTTTCCAGAAAGTAGGTACTAGCACCGTGGTTAGAATCAGGATCTGTCTCTGGATTCTAAAATCCGTGCTTTTTCCTTTATCTTTGCTTTTTTTGTTTGTTTGTTTCTTTTAAACCATACTATCTTCCTGTGACTTATACCTTTAATATCACTTGATTTAGACAAGGTGGCTTTGTAAAATTTAGTAGTTTTTGTTTCAAAGGAACTTATATTTTGGGTTTCCTGAAGATTTTTGTAAAGCTTAAGTGAATCTTACTTGCTTTAAACCTAGAGACTTAAGCATAAAAAGATCATCAGTTTTAAAACATGCAAACTGAATTTTGGGGATAAATTGTGTTAGGTTTTGGTCTTGAAAACAAATTCTGCCGTCATTTGCTGTACCACAATATGGTATAGAGTAAGGTCAATAGCCCTTTGTTTCTGTAGCCTTATATGCCTTTATGGATTTACCAGTTTACTCTTCCATAAGATCTTGTCAAAAAGAGATTGCTGATATTTGGCTTTAAAATTTGATAATACTATCCATTTTATTATTAAAAGCAAGTCTTTGCTAAATCTTAAGCTTTTTAAAAAGTCAGTGTTGATGTTACTTGAATCTTGGATAAAATTTTCATACTTACCTAGCATAACCAGTATGTGGAGGATAAAAGTCAAGTACTGCTTTTTATATGTTGTCAGACTATTAAGTTCGTTATGATAGGCGTTAGTAAGAATTTTAAGCTACTTCCATGATAAATAATTTTTTCCATCATATAAACTTTAACAGTGATTTAGAAGTTAAATTTCATTGTTATCTATTTTATTGCACTTGAAATAGTAAGCCTCAATGTTAGAAGCTTATGCTTTAGGGATACACACACACACACACACACACACACACACACACACACATACATAATGTAAAAAATGAAAGCACATTTATTATAGCAATAAGAAAATTTATTTGCTGGAAGATAGACATTGTGGTTTGGTGGTTCAGTTTTTTTCTATGAAGATGGAAATTTCAGTTTTTCGTTTAAGCTACAAAATTTAAATGTGTCTTAAGTGTAAGCTCACCTTACATTTTTGGTTATGTATAATTATTTTTAAAATCACCCAAAAGTGATTTTACGCTATTCAGTTTTATTCTTACACAGTGGATAGAATCAAGATTGCCAATAGGGTTAAAAGATAAAAGAAAGAGTTTTATTAACAAGCTTATGAACTACTGGGTAACAGCAGTGGAACATGTTAAGTGGTAGTCACTAACATGTATTTAGTCAGGCCAGTCCCTTGGGAATAAGTTTGCCAGAGGTCAGTCTAAATAATGATCCTTTGATTCATTTACTTATTGAATGCATATTACCTGTGAAATTGCCTTAAACCTTCTTTGGAATGAGCTGGAAGCTAATACAATAGCTAGTGTTTATTGAGTAGTAAGTGACTTCGTGCCAGGTCTTATGCTAAGCATTTCACAGGCTCTCTTAAAACAACCCTTGGAGGTAGAGGCACTATTATCTCCCATTTTTAAATGAGGAAACTTTACAGAGAAGTTAAGGAACTTGCCTAAGGTTGCAGGAAAAATTGCTTGGAATTAGGATTGAATCCAGGCTGGCTGCCTCAAGAGACCATGCCTTTTTTTCATCATTACAGTAAATATAATGATGAAATTATATTTCATCATTGATGTTAGTGATTGAACTCCATTGGAGAGAAGTTAGCATTAAGAGTTGTAGTTACAGAGAAGTTATGTCTTAAATGATGAGGTTAGTGTGGCAGGCTGAAAATTACTTAATATTCAAACTTTTAAAAAACCTATTAGGAAGTACACTTTGTAGACTAACAACTTCAACACAGCATATTTTTTTTCTAGCATTGGAGTAGATATCTTTTGAGTACAAGGTGAAGTGTTTGACTTATTATTCAGAGACCATGTTGAAAAAAGAAATATGTATAATATAATGCAAGAATCACAATCAGTGTGGCAAGCTGCTCATTGTGAGGGCTTACTGTGGCTCTCAGTCTGGTGGGGGCGTGTGGCAGAACCATGTTTCTTATCTCTCATTCTGGGACTTGTGTGTATAGAATGGAATTATCACCTACATACTCCAGTTGTTATTTTCGACAAAGTTATTTTTTGTTTTCTTCAGGCAAATGTTGACTATGTCTGTTGAACTTGCATAGGGTAGGAGTATCATGTGAAGCAGATATGCTCCCTGGAGTGTTAATGCCAAGTGGCAGTGTGACATGATACTGCATTTCTTTACTGTCTCTTCCCTGCAAGACTGCATACCCTCAAGGGTATATGCTGTTAGACTTTTTATCACCGTGTCTCCAACTAACACTGTTGCTGACTTAGACTGACTCTGCAGAACACTGTTGGATACTAGGAAATAGAGAAATGGATAAAACTTCCCTTTGGGGAGTTAGACTTGAGTAGATACAAGGGGAAAGGGTTAAAAGACCATTGTATGGACATTTAGTCTTTCTAATATAATAAGTACTTCCATGTGCATCAGTTCATTTTATAATTTTAGGTTAGAGCTGATAGAAAAATAAATGATAGTTTCTCTAATGGCCATCTGGTCCCTGGCACTGAAATGGGTCTCCCTGTCTTATTCAGTCATTCTCTCTTACTTCAAGATGGACTGGAATTCAACTGAGATTGAAGTTATGGAATGACAAAACCTTAAGATGTTACACACTGGCTGCCTCCTCAGACTTACATAAGGTTACTACAACAAAAGCCAGTTGGGAATGTTAAATGAGTCAGACCTGGCCTCCAGACAGCAACTGCTCCCTGTACGAGTTTAGATTGTTGCAAGGCTTTTTTCATTTAATACCAAAGGATTTTGAATCCTTTGGTTTTTTCAATTGAGAAATGCCCATCTTTTTCTATGTCTTTATCCATATTAAAATTGGCATTTATGCAGTACTGCTAAAACTTGAGATATTTCCAAGGTTCTACCTTATTTTTGATATGCTTCGTGAAAAAATAAATCACATTTTTGCAAAGTGAAGGTTACAGGAGGAACTGTAAATGCAGTAAAAACAGATACTATTCTGGCCCCAATTTCTTCTTGTAACTAGTAGCATTTGTATTTGAGATCAATTGGGAGCTAAAGGTAAAGTTCAGTGGCATCATCAAGATAGAACCCTGGCCTCACGTAGCACCTGGTGTTAAATAAGCCAGAGGCTATTTATTGTCTGGGGCTAATACTTTTTATCAACATTGAGTGCCCTGTGGTAGTGTTTTTGGTGCAAAGAAATTTTGTAAAGTAATGAAAGTACCTGATGCATATTTTAGAGGATCTTAAGCCATTAGGAGTCATTAAGTTAAATTTTAGGTGTCTTAAGATTATAAGTCATACAAAGCAAGTAGCTGTGCCCCAGGGTGGTACAGATTCCTTTAACCAGAGAGGTCAAACTCTGAGGAATGAAGTTTAGTTGAATTTTTAAGGGATTTTAAAGGGAAGTTTTAACATCGCATTGGAGAAATTACCACAAGGAATAATAAATGCTAATAAAAAGGAAAATAGACATGTACCTCAATTAAACACCAAACAACTATTCAACTAGGCAATAATTATTCATGAACCACTAGATTGAGAATTTCATGGGCAAAAGATGAACATATTCAAGGGGATAGATTTGTTTCCTGTCTTTCAACAAGTGTTTTCATTTAAATTTTATTCGGATCAGAATTTACCAACAATTTAGACATAGGAAAAAAAATGTGGATTGTCACAACTAAAGAGATGTATATTTTTCCCCTGAACAAGTTGCTTTCAAATCTCTTAGGATTCAGTTGTTACTATTTTGTTATTGTTTCCATTTCCCATTAGCTAATTCAGAGGTAATGAGCTCTTTGATTTTGCTGTCAACTTTTGATTATCTTGTATAGTTTATAACTTTTTATGAATTGTCTCAAGGTCTTTGATCACATCTTGATTTCACTCTGCAACCCAGCCTGCTAGCCAGCCTGCTTCTGGGCCATGGTTTCCTTTGTTAAATTTACCTACGTACATTTAGAAAAAGTAATTTTAACACTGGCTTGGCAAATAGTTTAAAATGCACCTGATTACCGAATTCTTTTATGTATTCCAAAACTAAGTTTATGCATCCATTTTGATAAGTGGAAGATAAAGGATTTTGAAAATATGCCATGTAGGTGGCTGTTATGACATTGTAATATCAGTGTTGACTTTCATTGTGTATGTTATGCAGGGGCAGAACTAGGCAAGAGATGTGCATAGGGTACAAACCTTGAAGAGGCACTAACTCTCCATGTCATGCAAATCAGAGCAAAATTTTGTGTTCTAGGTGTCTGGTTTGCCTCACTTTAGTTGCAGTCTTGATTCCATGTCAGATTCCTAGAATTTCAGCTAAAATATTAGTAATAATATGAATAGAATGCTTATTGCAGGTGTCCCCAAACTATGGCCCGCGGGCGCATGCGGCCCCCTGAGGCCATTTATCCGGTCCCCCACCACACTTCATGAAGGGGCACCTCTTTAATTGGTGGTCAGTGAGAGGAGCACAGTATGTGGCAGCCCTCCAACTGTCTTGAGGGACAGTGAACTGGCCCCCTGTGTAAAAAGTTTGGGGACGCCTCGCTTATTGTATGTTAGCCACTGTATTAAGTGTTTTATATGCATTTAGTACTCTTAACCCGGGGAAATGAGTACTTCAATGAATATTTCTATTTCTCACTAGTTGAGAAATAGAGATTTAAAAAACTGAAATGATAGCATCCAGTTGAGCAAAAGTTCAAATTGAGGTCTTTTTTTCTTCCAATCTGAGCACTTATCTCCTACTGCATTCTGTCCATTTTGTGTGTAGAAAAAGTTACTTATCCATTTTATATATTACTGTATTAAGAAACAGTACTCTGGCTGGGTGCAGTGGCTCATGCCTGTAATCCCAGTACTTTGGGAAGCTGAGACCGGTGTATCACGTGAGGTCAGGAGTTCACAACTAAGCTGACCAATATGGTGACAATGTGTCTCTACTAAAAATACAAAAAATTAGCCAGACGTGGTGGTAGGTGCCTATAATCCTAGCTACTTGGCAGGATGAAGCAGGAGAATTGCTTGAATCTGGAGGTGGGGCGGAGGTTTCAGTGAATCGAGATTGTGCCACTTCACTCCAGCCTAGGTGACAGAGTGAAACTCTGTCTCTAAAAAAAAAAAAAAAAAGAAAAGAAAAGAAACAGTACTCTATAAAATATGTAAGTGCATATACTTGACATGATGCAGTTGACTTTTAAGGTGAGTCAGAGGTCTCAGCGACACCAAACTGAAGATCCACAAGCTTTGTGTGCTAAGTACCCTAGAGTTGTCAAACGTATTAAAGAAGAAGCTAAAGCAGAGAGAGGTGAAATGACTTGTTCAGAGACAAAGATAGTTTATAAATGATAGGATCAGAATTTGAGCCCACGCTTTGAGACTTTAATGCTTATGCTTTTTCCCTCTGTCTGCACAGATTGTCCGTTTGTTACTTTTTTACGGCGTGTGTGTGTGTGTGTGTAAAACAATACAATGGCAAAGTGCTATATACACTTATTATTAAGAGATTGCTTCTAGATGTTCCTAAGTGTAAAATTCTATAAATACTAAACTAACAGTAGTGTATGTCTAGGGATGTTGAATTCCACTTAACTTAGTAAGTAAACTAGAAATGGAAGAGAATGAATTATAGAAGATATAATTTGCAGGTCAAGGAGAGAGATGTAGGTATATTCTTAAGACATCAAGCTCATTTCATTCTAAGCAGGATAACTGACTTACCCTGTTCCTCTGCCTCCCTTTTTTCCTAGCTTTCTCCTCTAAATCTTGGTCTCTTGTTTGGAAGTGACTAACAACATTTTGGCATGAGAAAGCCCTAAAAGGTATGTAAACTTTGTGAGCAAATGTTAACCCCCTCCCAGCTGTGTTAAATGGCCAGACTGTGATCTATACAATTTTTATATAAATCCATTTTCTCTTAGAACTCATCTAAGGTGGATGAATATGATTTTTTTTTTTTTTTTGAGATGGGATCTTGCTCTATTGCCCAGCTGGAGTGCAGTGGCACAATCTTGGCTTACAACCTCTGCCTCCAGGGTTCAAGTGATTCCCTTTTCTCAGCCTCCAAAAGAGCTGGGACTACAGATGCCTGCCACCATGCCAATTACTTTTTGTGTTTTTAGTAGAGAAGGGGTTTTACCATGTTAGCCAGGTTGGTCTTCAACTCCTGACTTCAAGTGTCTGCCTGCCTTAGCCTCCCAAAGTGCTGGGATTACAGGCATGAGCCACCGTGTTTGACTGATGAATATGATTCTTGATCTTATATTATTGGGAGAAAGCAAGAAATTGTCAGTTAATTGAAACCCTGGGTCAACCAACTCTTGGGGAGGACCTCCTTACTAGAATTTGTAAATAATTGTTAATGATCTGATGCCTAAAAAAATTTGTCTTAAAAAAATTCCCATGAAATTACTTTGGAAAGTACAGTTGATAACGATGAAATCTTATTACTGAGTTTTAGGTCCAGCGATAAGGTGGCTGGGTCCAGACTTTGTTAATAGAATTAATTTTATTTTTTTGTTTTTTATTTTACTAGGCATGCTATTTGAAGAGTATTAGCAAGACTGATTCAATTTATAAATTGCCCATCTCTTCACTCATAAATTTGTTCATTTAGCAAACATTAAGTGTCTATTATGTGCCTGCTTTGCTGACTCTAATGTCTCTATTGGGAAGAAGAAACACACTTATAAATGGAAACATAAACATAGGATTCTGCTCACTGCTACAATGAACACACTTCTCTTAACTGAGTGTTCCTGCACATTTTGTGGGAGATCCAGCATACATCAGTCAATCAATCTTTCCCTTTTGAGAGATAATTATAGGAATTATAAGACTTTAGGGCCAACTGAGAGGGCTAAGTACTGGATTTTACTAGAGAGAATAACAAGAGAAAAAGACCTGCCTACAGATAAGTTTTAAGTGTAGAATTAGGAAGCCGTTTTTGTAATCAAGAAGTGCCTATACCAGTACCAAGAATACTTCTGGTCCACTCCTTTCATTTGGTAGTAAATAGCTTTGGCTCTAGAGTTATCTCAAATCCCAGATGGAGTAAAGTAAGGCAGTTTCAGGAAATACTGATTCTGAGCCTTGAGATATACCCGTGTGTAGCTCTTTAAATGGGCAGACTCAAGTTCGTTAGGGAGAGCAGAAATACCGAAGATTTAAGAGTTTGGCGGTGGAATGGCCAATACCTATGTTTTTGGGACTCTTAAACAAGTGGTAATTGTCTTCAGCTCAGGAAGATATTTAACGCTGATTCATCTTCTGTTAAAAATTAGTTGCTTGCTGGAATATGCCTGAAAAAAGAAAAAAAAAATTAGTAATGCTATTTTGAATATTCAAGAAAATGAGTAGGAAATTATAAATGAGATGATTGCTTATACTGTATTTATGTTGATATCCCCATATTACAATGGGTGTTTTTGAAGAAAAATGTGTTTAAAAATATGCCTTTTGTTTAAGTTCTTATCTACAATTCTGGTTCTTCGTTTTTATTCTGTGGATGCTAACAGTACACAAATCTTACTTTGAATTGAAAATTTTCCTCCAAAGCAGCATACTTGAAATATGAGCTGTAAAGTTCATGCTATGTTGCCATCATACCAACATTAAATTTTTTAAATTCATTTAATTATTACCTAGAAGTTGTGACCATGAGCAAGTTACAACACCCTTTTTGGACTTTGGTTTCTACTGTAGGTAGTAGGATAGATGAAATCACTTTTTAAGGCCCTTTCAGATTTGGAATTTGTAGTCAGTGACCTTCAGTTTTCTGTATGTGCATAATTACCTAGAGGGCTGAAACTTTGTTAATGTGTACCCAGCTGCTGAGGCTTGGCCACACTCATGCTGAACTGAAGTGTCAAAGGGGGTTTCAGACCTCACTCAACTCAGCTCAGCTGACCCTTGCTCTTTCCATAGCAAGCTCTTTGTTGCATGGAGTAACTGCAGGTTGTCCACCAAACTATTTCAAATGAAGAAGCATGTGGAAAGAATGACAAAGGCATATTTTAACTTTGAAGTTGAAATTGATAGAATAATTCAATATTTAAAAAGCCATACTGGAATTGTTGATTTTTAATCTCATGTAAATGCTACTGAAACTGAGTGGCCCCCAGTTGCTAATGTGTCTTCTAAAAAAGTTCAGTTTTAAATTGGTTCTTTGGAGCGTTTTTCTTTTTTTTTTTTTAAGAGTAGGTGTGATGTACTGATAAGAATGTATGTATTGTGGATTTGGGGTGGAGAGTTCTATAAATGTTTATTAGGTTTACTTATTCTGGATCTGAATTCAAGTCCTGGATATCCTTGTTAATTTTCTGTCTCATTGATCTGTCTAATATTGACATTGTAATGTTAAAGTCTCCCACTATTGTGTGGGAGTCTAAGTCTCTTTATAAGTCATTAAGAACTTGCCTTATGTATCTGGGTGCTCCTGTATTGGGTGTGTATATATTTAGGATCGTTAGTTTTTCTTGTTGCATTGATCCTTTTACCATTATGTACTGTCTTTCTTTGCCTCTTTTGATCTTTGTTGCTTTAAAGGATATTTTATCAGAGGCAAGAATTGCAACTCATGCTTTTTTAATTTAATTTAATTTAATTTAATTTAATTTTAGCTCTCCATTTGGTTGGTAAATCTTCCTCCATCCCTTTGTTTTGAGTCTTTGTGTATCCTTGCATATGAGATGGGTCTGGATGCAGCATACCGATGGGTTTTGGCGTTTTATCCAATTTGCCTGTGTCTTTTGATTGGGGCATTTAGTTGATTTAAATTTAGGATTAATAATAATATATGTGAATTTAATACTGCCATTTGATGCTAGCTGGCTGTTTTGCCCATTAGTTGATGTATGTTCTTCATTATGTTGATGCTCTTTACCTTTTGGTATATATTTGGAATGGCTGATAGTGGTTGTTCCTTTCTATGTGTAGTGGTTCTTTCAGAAGCTCTTGTAAAGCAGGCCTGGTGGTGATGAAATCTCTGAGTACTTGCTTGTTCACAAAAGATTTTATTTTTCCTTCACTTATGAAGCTTAGTTTGGCTGGATGTGAAATTCTGGGTTGAAAGTTCTTTTCTTTAAGGATGTTGAATATTGGCCCTCACTCTCTTCTGGCTTGTAGGGTTTCTGCTGAGAGATCTGCTGTGAGTCTAATAGGCTTCCCTTTGTGGGTAACCTGACCTTTCTCTCTGGCTGCCCTTAGTATTTTCTCTTTCATTTCAACCCTGGTGAATCTGACAATTATGTGCCTTGGGGTTGCTCTTCTTGAGGAATATCTTTGTGGTGTTCTCTGTATTACCTGGAGTTGAATATTGTCCTGCCTTGTTAGGTTGGGAAAGTTTTCCTGAATAATATCTTGAAGAATATTTTCCAACTTGGATTCATTCTCTTCGTCACATTCAGTTACACCTATCAAACGTAGATTAGGTCTTTTCACATAGTCTCATATTTCTTGGATACTTTGCTCATTCCTTTTTACCCCTTCTTTGATCTTGTCTTCTCGTTTTATTTCATTGAGTTGGTCTTCAACCTCATATCCTTTCTTCTGCTTGATCAATTCGACTGTTAAAACTTGTGCATACTTTGCGAAGTTCTCCTATTGTGTTTTTCAGCTCCGTTAATTCATTTATATTCCTCTCTAAATTGTCTATTCTCGTTAGCATTTCGTCAAACCTTTTTTCAAGGTTCTGAGTTTCTTTACATTGGGTTAGAACATGTTCTTTTAGCTCACAGTAGTTTCTTATTAGCCACCTTCTGAAGCCTGATTCTGGCAATTCATCACATTCATTCTCCATCAGGCCTTGTTTCCTTGCTGATGAGGAGCTGCAATCCCCTGAAGGAGGAGAGGCATTCTGGTTTCAGGTGTTTTCAGCCTTTTTGTTCTGGTTTCTTCCCATCTTTGTGGATTTATCCACCTGTCGTCTTTGTAATTGCTGACTTTCAGATTGGGTCTCTGAGTGGACGTCCAGCTTGTTGGTGGTGACACTATTTCTCTTTCTTTGTTTTCCTTCAGCGGACGCTCCTCCCCCACAGAGCTGGACCTTCCAGGGTTCAGCTGTGCTTGCTGTGAAACTCTCAATCATCAGCGTTTCCAGTTGCTGGTTTTTTGTGGGGGTGGGACCAGCCGAGCCTGATCGCCTGGCTCCCCGCCTTGGAGCCCCCTTTTTTTCTTTTCCTAATTAAATGGTTTATTCTCTCCCAGGTGCCCCAGTCGCCTGCCAAAAAGGCGCTGGGATCTATGCAATTTCCCCTGCGGCGACTGAGCCAGCTGAAACAGTGGCGCTGAGATTCCTGGTGCTTTTCTGCCTGGGAATCTCCCAGTCTGGCTCCCGGCTTCAGTCCCCCTTTCAGTCAGCTGAATGGGCGACTCTGCCTTCCCAGAGCTCCAAATGCCAACCAAAAGGGCACCCAGTCCTGCATACTCCGAACTGAGAATCACCATGCCAGGATGCTAGCAAAACAGCTGCACCGGCCAAAAGAGTCGTGCTGGCGACCCTTGGGGCTCCTCCGCTGGGAATCTCCTGGTCCGTAGGCAACAAAAATTTGTCTGGAAGTCTGGTGTCCACTCACTCCCTACACCTTCACTGGGAGCTGCAATTCTGAGCTGCTGCTAGTTGACCATCTTGGGTCTCTCTCCTGGAGCATTTTTCCTAAGAACAAAAATATTAAAAGGTGGTATGTATGTCTTAGGCCAGCCACCTAGTAGCCCATGATGTTGCCAAGATACTGTTCTTTTTGTTGACAAGTAAGAACTGCTAGAGAGAGATCCAAGATGGCTGATCACTAGCAGCTTGGGATTGTAGCTCCCAGAGAAAGCACAGAGAACGAGAGGACGCCACACTTTCACATGAATTCTTGCTGCTCATGCACCAGGAGATTCCCAGCGGAGGAGCCCCACGGGTCGCCAGTGCAACTCTTGTGGCCAGTGAGGTGGTTTTGCCGGTGCCTCGGAGTGGCAGTTCTTGGTGCAGAGTCAGAAAAGCACCATCAATCTTAACACTGCTGTTTTAGCCGGGCACAGTGGGTTGCTCAGATTCTGGCGCTGTGAATCAACAAGTTGGACGTCCACTCAGAAACCCAGTTACAAAGACGGTAATTATAAAGACCACAGATGGATAAATCTATAAGGGAAGAAACCAGCCTAAAAAGGCTGAGAATACCCAGAATTGGAACGCCTCTCCCTCTACAGGGGATCACAGTTCCTCATCAGCAACGGAACAAGGCCTAATGGAGAACGAGTGTGTTCCATTAACAGAAGCAGGCTTTAAAAGGCGGATGATAAGAAACTTCTGTGAGTTAAAAGAACTTGTTCTAACCCAATGCAAAGAAAGTAAGAACTTTGAAAAAAGGTTTGACGAAGTGTTAACAAGAATACACAATATAGAGAGGAATATAAGTGAATTGACGGAGCTGAAAAACACAACATGAGAACGTATGAAGTTTTCCCAATTTATTTTGAAGTGGAAAAGTAGATTACCAGTGACATTAAGTAGTTAAATAGGAACAGAAGGGCCACAATTGGTATTTACCTACTTCTTTTTGCCTATTATTTTGGTCTTTTTATTTCTGACAGGTATACTAAGTCTGTTAAGTTTTCCTTGCCTTCATTCTTTCTCCATTCTCTCCATCATGCTATGATTAAAGCCATCTACTTAAATAAGCTATATAATCAGGTGTTGGTATTCTCTTTTCCCAAAGAACGAAATTCAGGAATTGGCCTTTTGTTCTTTTTGTTCTGTGAAGTCATGGAGTAGGTTTCAGGTGAGAAACAGGAAAAGTCTTTGATGTTTAGAACTGTCATAAATGGGACTAAACAGTTTCAGAAGGTGTTGAGTTACATTTCACTGATAGCAATATGGTAGAATACTAAGCAGCTTTCAAATGGCACAGGTTATTGGAGCTTTTTGAAGCGTCACTGCAGGCCTTTGATTGTATCTTTGAATCTCATTAGGTCTTACACAATCTAGCACAGGTAAATTTTTAATGATTAGGAACTACATTTCATATCTAGCGAGTGCTAAATATACCATAAACATGTTTAGTGAATAATATCTTCTTGGTATTTTTCTTGAGTAGACGAGGTGGGGTTCTTTATTTCTACTTCAAATTTGGTTTTGGGGTGTGAGAGTATCTGATCTATATGCAGAGTTTGGGATCAAGTCTTGGGTTGCTGTGTGTCTGATCTTGGGCAAGTTATTATCTCTGAGCCTGCTTTAAGACTTGTAAAATTAGAATTGCAGCTTTTTTTAAAGCAGGTTATTGTAGGACTAAATGCATGTGCAAAATGTTGAATACTATGAAAATGCTTTACAAGTAGTAGAAATTATTCAAAAAATGCCTTGTTGAATATAGGTGTGTCACTGCCATTACTCTTTCACTTTATGATTAGGGTTTTTTCTTTTTTTTTTAACCATGGTAAAGGAAATAAATGGTTGCATTCTCTTTAAAAACTAACATATTTCCTTAACACCTCAAGGCAAAATTTCTTTCTTTTATTGTTGAATTCTTGATTTTAATCCCAAACTACCAGCCTCTCTGAGTTCTTTTTCAGTTTTTGTGTCAGATTTCCATAGTGCTTCTAAATACCAAAAGGTATCACTGGCACAATTAAGTAGCAAGTATTTTATCAAGTGGATCACATTTGGTAGAATTTTTTTCAATTTTATGTTTGAAATATTTGGTGCTTGGTGTGTTTGTGTTGTTTTCAGGTGACAAAATCACTACACAAGTAGAAATAGGTTTTAATAAAAAATGTTAAAACAGCCTAGTTCTTTATTGATTCTTTAATTTGGTTTTCTGCACACATTTAACACATCATGCATTTCCTGATTATAATTTCATATTACATATGTTATAAATATGTATCTTATTGATATGTTTTCTTAGATTGTATGCTACTCTTAGATTGTATGTGGTAGCATATCATTAAGAACTCTCTGAGTTCAAGTTAAGCAGCTTCCTAAATCACTGCTTTGTGAACTAGTACCTAAGGACTTTAGGAAAGAGCAGTTGTTGAGTCTTCTGAGGAAAAGGTAGATTTCTTGCCAACTAGGTTTGCTTTCACAAGTAAAATATGTTAAAAAAAAATAGCTTTTCATAAGCTGGGAACTCTGTAATTTGGGAAGGAAAGTTATTGGTATTTTTCGTTTCCCCCTAATATAGTAAATCTCTCTTTTTTCTTCCCCTTTCACCAGATCAGTGTGTTTTGTGCCCTATTCTTTTATCACCAAAAACGAGGAGAAATATTGCAGTGAATGAAGATTCCTCTGCATTTTAGCACTGCTTTTTCAACTGTAGTTGGCTTTTGAATGAGGATGACAATGGAAGAGATGAAGAATGAAGCTGAGACCACATCCATGGTTTCTATGCCCCTCTATGCAGTCATGTATCCTGTGTTTAATGAGGTGAGTTGGGTAAACATTTCCTTGCATGAACTCTAAGAGTTATCTTAGACTTAATATTGATATAATTTTGGATTTTCTTCTAAATTAATACTAACATACTGGAGTATATAGAGAATTCTGGAACTGAAAGTTTCTTAGAGATTATTTAATTAATCCCCTTTGTATAATGGGGAACTAAGTTCCTAATATGTGAAGTTTGTTTTCCTAAAATTACCTATAACTAAAATCAAATCAGGTTCTCCAGACTTCAAATTCAGTGGCTTCAGCCTTTCAAAAATTGAATTATTTGCTGCTATTTTATTAATCTAATTTACCTTAGTACCATTAACCTTATTGTTACTACTATAGTCTATATGCTCTCACCATTTCCAATGAATTTTCATCACTTTTTGTAAAATATTTTCATTAAGATTCTGCATTTCAAAATCATTTTTTTCCCACATTACTGGACTTGATTACAGTGTTATATTCTATAATCTTAAGTCTTAGGGGCAGTGGAGAGTGATCCATTTACACTGGTTGCCATGAAAACCACAGACTTAGTTGCCAATTCCATCATACGTTTTAAATTTTCGAACACTGCAAACACTGTCTCTGTTAGGTTCGGTGATGATAGAAGAATGGTCAAAATGGTGGCTTGGGTAAAAATTTGTTTATCACAAAAAAGATTCTGAAGGCAAGTGGTCCAGGGCTAATATTATCATGACTTAGTATGAGAAACTCAAGTTCTTAACCGTCTTCCTAGTGTTTGGCTTTCATTATCAATCAAGGTCACCACAGCATACAAGGTAGCTGCTGAAGAGCCACACCCGTCACATCCTAAGTTGTTGTCTGGAAGGGGACAAAGTAGGGCAGAGAATGGGGTCCTGCTTCTAGCTGAGTTTGCTTCCTAAACGTAGCCCTTTTGAAAGGCCTTACACAAGACTTCCACTTAATTTTTTAGTCAAGAACTTAAGTCTAATGACCAAACTTAGCTGCAAAGGAGGTTGCGAAATTTAGGAGTGTTGTTACCAAGGAAGAAGCATCTTTTGAAAAACCTACTCTTATCATACTGCCACCATGGTAGCACTGGAGACACTTTTTAAGTCTGGTTATGTCCATCTTTGGCAGCTATAGCCAACACACCAGTAATTAATTTCACCAGTTTTGTTCTGATACCCATTCATTTTTTAAGGAGCTATTGTTAGAAGCAAGTGGCTTCAAGTTTTGTTTAGCCATTTATTTGCTGAATACTTCTGTTAGGGTCTAGCGATGTGAGAAAGACTGCATGCATGTTCTCAAGAATCTTTTTGGAAACGGATATTTAAGCAAGTACATTTTACAGTTATCCTTGCTCTAGAAATTTGATAAGGAGACAGATCCTATAAGCTAGTGAATAACCTGTCTTGGTAAGAATTTAGTTTGACCTTTTCAGTTGTTTAAAGAGCCATTATCACAGTTCCACCCAGGGATACTCTGTCTTTTCATGTCTACATTTCTGAGTTGATAAGTTATTGGGCAAAGTTATTGGGAAGAATTTTCTGTATTTGTTTGGGATTTTGAGTCTTTACCTCAATGGAGGAAAATTTACATTGCTGAGCTTCAGGTTGATCCTCTAATGAATGAAGAGCAATTAGAAAAGCTTTTTGTTCTAACAATTTGAGTGGTCTTTTTCCTGCATAATTCTCAAATTGAATTTACTGATCTAACATCATGTATCAAGCTTTTAAAAAATTATTTGTCATGTATTCAAAGATGTGTTCAGAACTATAGATTTTTAGAAATAGGGATGGTACTTACTAGGTTTCCTCTTTAATAGAGATGAAATCTAGGGCTTGAATTGGGAGTGGAGTAAAATAATTATTGTTCCTTCAAATATGAAGTGTTTTGTTAAAAAAGAATGACGTACTAGTATTATTCTTTGATGTTTTAGTTTTTTAACATAACATATAAATAAGATACTTAATCAGTTAAACATTAGTGTTTAACTATAGTTTACCCATGAATTTTTCTATATATCTAACAGGGAAATTATATTTTTGTTTGGCTTTTTCTGTGCTGTGCACATTCAAAGGTGAAAATGGTTGTCAAATTGATCTCTACAAAATTGTACCATTGTAAGGTTGACTGTTTTACTCTGAAGCTAAATGATTCACTAAATCTTGTCCACAATGTATTGTAAGAGTTAAAATGCTTACTCCTCACCTTATCGTTAGATCCGTAATAGCTACAATGGTAGTCTAGAAACCATCCTTTAAAGGATTTCTAGCTAGTAGGACATCTTTACACCTGGGGAAATTTTAGTACTGTTACTGCAGCTTGCAAGCCAAAGTTATTTATGGCACTCTGAAAGCTCGATGTTTGCTAGACTTAATAAAGCTATGCCAGGACAGCTGAGAAGTAGTAGGCTTCTTGTTCAATCAGCTGCTGCAGAGTTCAGAGTCCAAGTATATTGCATGTGTTGTAAATGTACTGTGAAATAAGTCCCTTGATTGCATTATGGAATAATAGATTTCTGGAAACCTTATTTCATGTCATGTCAGGTTCTCATGTAACTATTATTTTGTAGTGATTCTTTGTATATTGGGGAGGAGAGAGTGGTGGTTCAGTTCTTCATTCCAGGAAAAAATAAGGCTTGTGTTTTCTTTTCCTAAGACCATTTAGAGGAATTGTTTTCTCAAGCAATATATGTCATATTTTGAAAAATAAACAGTTTTGCAACTATGTGAATTTTAGGTCACCAAAAGTTTATATGTTTGCTTACTAATAAATTACACAAAAGTATGCTTCCGAGTTAAATAATTAGTATGTTTCCATTTAGAAACATTAGTATGTTTCCATGTGGAAGCCAATTATTGGCGGATACTGAACTCTTTTAAGTTTTCCTGGCTTTTTGTAGTTAGCAAATGAAAGCTGGGAATACCTCTCCAACTTTACCTACCTACTTTTTTTTAAAGAAGATAAAATTTTATTTGAAAAAATTTTTAAATTTTTGTCAGTACATAGTAGGTATATATATTTATGGAGTACATGAGATATTATGAAACAGGCATTCAATGCATAATAGTTCACATCATGGTAAATGGGGTACCTAACCCCTCAAGAATTTATCCTTTATATTACCATCCAATTATATTCTTTTAGTTATTTTAAAATGTATAGTGTTGACTGTTGCAACCCCGTTGTGCTATCAGTAGTAGGTCTTATTCATTATTCTTATTTTTTATTACCCATTAACCATCCCCACTTTCCCTCGACCCCTACCATCCTCCTCAGCCTCTGGTAATGATCCATTCTATCTCCATGAGTTGAATTGTTTTATTTTTTTAGCTTCTACAAGTAAATGAGAAGATGTGAAGTTTGTCTCTCTGTGTCTGGCTTATTTCACTTGACATATGACCTTGGTTCTATCCATGTTGTTGCAGATGACAGGATCTCATTCTTTTTTATGGCTGAATGGTTCTCCGTTGTGTATGTGTACCACATTTTCTCTGTCTGTTCCTCTGATGACACTTAGGTTGCTTCAAAAACTTGGCTGTTGTGAACAGTGCTGCAGCAAACATGGGAGTGTAGAAATCTCTTCTACATACTGATTTTCTTTCTTTTGGGTATATACCCAGCATTGGGATTGCTGGTACCGGAAGATCATATGGTACCTCTGTTTTTAGTTTTCTGAGGAACCTCCAAACTGTTCTCCACAGGGTTGTACTAATTTACATTACAACCAGCAGTATATGAGGGTTTTTCTCCACATCCTTACCAGCATTTGTTATTCCTTGTCTTTTGTTTAAAAGCCATTTTAATTGGGATGAGATGCTATCTCATTGTAGTTTTGATTTTCATTTCTCTGATGGTCTATGATGTTGAGCACCTTTTCATATTCATGTTTGTCATTTGTATGTCTTCTTTTGAAAAATGTCTACTCAGATCTTTAGCCCATTTTTAAATTGCATTGTTAGATTTTTTTTTTCCTGTGAAATTGTCCGAGTTCTTTATAGATTCTGGTTATTAATCTTTGTTACATTGACAGTTTACAGTTTTCTCCCATTCTGTGGGTTGTCTCTTCATTTTGTTGATTATTTTCTTTGCTGTGCAGAGCTTTTTAACTTGACATGATCCTATTTGTCCATGTTTCCTTTGGTTGCCTGTGTGTGTGTGGCGGGGTATTACATAAGAAAAATTTCCCCACACTGTTGTTCTGGAGAGTTTTGTGAATGTTTTCTTGCAGTAGTTTCATAGTTTGATGATTGAGATTTAAATCTTTAATCCATATATAATTTTTACTCATGGCAAGAGATAGGGGTTCACTTTTTTCTACATATGATATTCAGTTTTCTGTGCACCATTTATTAAAGAAGACTCTTTTCTGTAGTATATGTTCTTGGTACCTTTGTTAATGAATTCACTATAGGCATATGTATTTGTTGCAGGGTTCTCTATTCTGTTCCATTGGTCTGTGTGTGTGTGTTTTTTTTTTTTTGCTAGTAGATGGTGTTTTGGGTACTATAGCTCTCTCATAATTTGAAGTCAGGTAGTGTGACTCTTCTATTTTCATTCTTTTTGGCTATTCTGGGCCTTTTGTGGTTCTATATAAATTTTAGGATTTTTTTTTTTTTCTATTTCTGTGCAGAATGTTACTAGTATTTTGCTAGGGATTACATTGAATCTGTAGATTGATTTGAGTACTATGGGCATTTTAACAGTATTGATTCTTCCAATCCACTAACACAGAACATCTTTCCTTTTTTTTGTGTCTAATTGCCTTAATCATTGTTTTATACTTTTCATTGTAAAGGCCTTTCAGTTCCTTGGTTAACTTAATTCCTAAGTATTTAATTTTATTTGTGGCTATGATACATTGGATTACTTTTTAAATTTGTTTTTCTGATTGTTCACTGTTGGCATATAGAAATGCTGTTAATTTTGTATTCTGCAACTTTACTTAATTTATCAGTTCTCATAGTTTTCTTGTGGAGTCTTTAGGTTTCTCCAAATGTAAGATCATGTAATTTACAAACAAG